AGCGTTGATGCACTCGAGAGCAGCCAGCTTCTCCTGCCACTTCTGGGCGTTGGCGAGGGACTCGAGGACGGGGGGAAGGACAGCCTTGACGGCGTTGCCGTTGACACCCTTCACGATGGCGAGGGCAGCACCCTGGGCGGCGTTCTTGACGGGAACCATCTTGTCACCGACGGCGGCAAGGACGGGGCCGAGGAGGGTGACGAGGTGAGGCTCGACACCAGGAGCGATGGTGGCGTGGGAGGCAATAGCACGGATACCCTCGCAGGCACGCTCACGGACAACAGCATCCTTCTTGTTGCTGAGCTGCTTCTGGAAGGTCTCGACAGCCCTGAAAATTTTTCATGTTAGCCATCTGCCACCGACCACCTAGACGGCAGAGCGGGGTATTCTGCAGGTTATACATACTTGAGAGGGAGAGCCTGCTCGGGGATAGGGCCGCTGAACAGGTGGGCCAGGTTGTCGGCAGCAGCGTTCACCTCATCCTGGGAGGAAGAGATGTTGAGGTTCTTGATGAGGTCCTCAAGGACAGCGACAGACTGAGCAGTCTCCTTGCCGGAGACAGCAGGAACGGACGAAACATCAACAGCAGGCATTTTGATCGTGAAAGACGATGTCGTAACGTCGGAGAGAGAAAAAAGGAAGAAGAAAAAGGAGGAGAAAAGAAGCGAGAACGGGTGGAAAGCGTTCTATTAGGGTATCTCGATAAGAGGTGGCGGGCCCACGAAACCGCGTCTGGAAAATTTCACAGCACGCAGCAAACGCTCTAACACGGCCGCACAGGCGAAATCTATTTTTTTTGTCCGAGAAACGACAAAAAACAAAACAAATTTTTTAAGATAGAGGAGCAAACCTCTTAGAAGAGAGAGATGAAGGATGGGGAGAAAAAGGGAGGGAGGAGGGGGGGGGAAGCGAAGGTGGGTGGAGGAAAGTGATATTTATCGCTTTGTGGCCTGCGTTTCGCCGCCCAACTTTTTTCAGTCCCGCCGCCAGTCCCAGAAAATCTCTTTTAATGAAAAATTTTTCGCTGTTCCTTAGAATTTGTCCCGCACTAACTTCGTTTCCGGTGTAGCGGCGATGGGCTGTCGAAGCAACCAACCGTGGCTCGTGAATGACTCTATATGCAGCCGCTGATTGGCTGGATTCCCGTTTTCGCTGAGTCAGCCGCGTTGAACCCTCAGCCAAGGTTGCCCTGGTTGCTACTCAACCATCAGGTTCGCTCCATCCTCACGGTCTGCCCGCTGCCATCATGGATCTTTGAAGGTTATTCCTGGCCATCGCCTTCCTGCCGTTCGTCCCGACTCTTTTCCGTGCGGGAATCAGCGGAGATGGAGCAGTGGGAGCGGATATCTTGGAAAATCATGGATAGCCTTCCCCGACCGATATTACCCCGTCAAGAGGGATTGTGATTATTTTTACATACTTTCTACTACTTTGTAACATATGGGATGGGCTGCCAGCCAATCCCCTTTCAGATCATCGAGCCATTTGCAAGCATCATCAAGTTGCCCCTTTCTTTGACAGGGCTGAGAGGGTCTTGAGCACAGCCGGTTTCTGTACCACCCTTTCTCCCCCTTATTGTTACTTCTGAGGATACTTGGAACGTCGCAGAATCCTCCCTATCGTTGTCCATCCCAAGTCTGGGGAAATTATTGTCAGGCTTTCATCGCTTATGGCGGAGCGAACATCTTCACATGTGTATGCCAGCGTAGCAATGCTGTGAGGACAATTCAGTACTTACTCTTCAGACTAGCCAGTCATCAATAGCCATTAGTTATTCATACCTTGAGCCGGTCCAAGCTGACGGGCGAAAACGGAGAACGATCTGGCTCCGGGCCATGGCTCTTGGTAACTCTAACTTAGTAGAGTTTTTATTATTATGATTTTTGTTATCCCTTTTCTGAAGACTTTCTGTCTCGAAGGGGGGCTGCGCCACTTCACCCCGGGAATGATCAGAGGTGGCGACCGGCATGAAAGCAGCAGCATCTGCAGGGCCAACCAAGCCATGATGACACGGAGGGGCGGAGACTAGCCGGCCTCAGTAGATTTTTATCAGTCTATCTATCAGGATGTTGCACCCCGGACTCATGGCGTGTCCAGGACATTATCAAGGTATGTGCCAGCATGCAGCGCCATCATGATTTGAATGGTGGTTTGTCGATGCATTTTGTGGTAAGATGCAGGCAGGCCTGGGAAAATCCTGCCCGAAGCATAACCATGTTGTCAAGAAAAGGAGCATTATGCTTTTGCGCCCGGAGATTGTTCCCCAGAGAGTCATGGATGCCTTATTATTGCCAAACACAAAGGGATAGGCGACTAAACACTCTCAGGCATAATTCCGGGGTTTAAGCGTCGCAAACACACGCCTGAAACAATGGCTCATTGCAGGAGTCGACGCATCACCGCCATTTGTCTGACTCAGGCTTTTCTCACCGCATTCAAATATAACTGGCTATAATTACTTTTCTTTACGTTATGTTGCCGATTGGCGTGTTGAGACCAAGTAACTTTACAGCCCTTCTTCAAAGTGACATCCAGGCCTGCCGCCTCAGCCAACCCGAGAACCGTGCCTTATGATGTGCACCGTCAGTCTTCAGAATACGGGGGCCCCCCTCTTATCGCTCTTATCGGCTATCGAATTTTGAGTTCAATTTTCTCCGGATCCCCTTCCATTTCTTATCCCCCGCGAAAATATCCAAATCTGTAGTGGCAACTTGCAACCAACCACGCTATTGCCACAACAATGGTGGAAGTAGGAACCTTCTTTGAACTCGTGAGCGCTATTCGCCCATGATGTGGGTCGACACGTTGTTTTTTCTACCGACACCTCGCAGTCTCTACAGTGCACATCCAATACTCTTCTCCTCTCTTCGCGAGATGGCAAAGTACCCTTAAAAGTATTTGGCAGACACAAATTGTCTCTCTACCTTCACTAACCATCATGGTTATCTCATGATGAGTCATTAGTAACCATTACTATCCCTTTTGGGTGTTGCCCCGGGTGTTAACCTTCAGCGCCCTTGGTAGAGGGAATTACTTCTTACTATATTCTGGACATCAATCTAGACCTGCTATCAGAATATTGCTGTCGCGTCTGTCTTACCGTAGCACTATAAGTAGAGAGAGCCACACAGATATAGTAATCATGCTCTCACCTGTCTCAATCTAAATCAATTTCAGGCTCCTGATGAAATTTAACCCGTGTTACCTGCTTGGGACGTAGCGTGCGTGATTCCCGCCTCAGAACTGCGTCAGGAATGTTGACGAAGCGCAAGAACTATACTTACACAGGTCTGGCCTTTGACCGACTCATGCCGTCCCATGCTGTCATGGCTTGAATTTATCTACGTGATACAATTAGGGCATGGCGAGGACACATGACGACGTTTCTCGATATGTCATGATCTGTCCAACTGACGAGACCCGTTCATTGTAGTTAGTCATTGCACTTGATGAAGATAATCGTACGGTCGCAGTATAACGTGTTATTTTGCTGAGGATGTATGTCTACTTAGATACGAGGAAATATCAAGAGATCGAGACATTTGCTAACTGAATGATATGGGTTGTTCGATCGATTTGTGTGGTCGTATCATATAACTGCTCAGCATAGCATTGGAATAATTAGCAAAACTTTAGAAGGTTTAGATATGAACAGCATCATTGGTCTAGTGGTAGAATTCATCGTTGCCATCGATGAGGCCCGTGTTCGATTCACGGATGATGCATTCGAATTTCTTTTTTTCCCTTTCTATATTTGCCTCCGCCAACTGACCTCTGCGACGATGTCATGATGGTGTAGCTTTTCCCTTCATTGTTCCACTGGAGCGTATGAGACACTGCTACATACTGACCTTTCTATCATTACATGTCAAGGCGAAGGGGCAAATGCATTTGATCTATCTGCTCTCAAGAGATTGGGTTGGACAGTTGGAAAAGGTAGCCGATCCTGGCTCGAGTGAATGTCTCAACATTACATAGTCATTCTCCGTATGATGCCATGTAGAATATTCTGCCATTGTGGACTGACTATCGACTGGACAATTTGGTTTACGTATACAATGAAATGTGCCCTACCACTAATACCGAACATAACCGACGAAGAATGGGGTGGATGCGGCTCGCAGGCAGCAGGCAGAGGCTAGCCCGGGATAGCTGGCCAGCTGCGCCACTCATTTATATCTGCTTTTAAGGCTGTCCTTGCTGGTATTGCGCTGAAGGGTAATTGCCAGGAGTATCTCCGTAATTATATCCAGCAGCTTGTTGGCCATAGCAGTTCTGTGGGCCATCGTACTGGTTGTTGTAATGATATTGGCGGGATGAATCCGACATAATGGCTAGCATGGATATCGATGCTGTCGCCCAAAGGACTTAAGAAGTGATGCAGCACGTAGTGCAATATGATCTAATGAGGCACACAAAATTGACGATGCTAGGAGGGAGAGGCTAGGTAGTCATGTGGTTGCCTCTTTGTCCCATTTACCATTGCACTTGCCGGTCTTACTAAGACTTACGTTGCTTCGTGACACAGACCTTTACGGCCTATACACAAAAAAGACAGTTATCCTCTGGCTTTGTGCGAAAAAGAATGAGTGTTATGAAGAATTTGGGAGGATACCCACTTCTTTGGCTAGAATACGTGAAGGACGCTTCCTTGCAACGGAGTCCTTAACCTCATCACCGTTTTGCTTGTGAATTATCTGAAATTCACTTTGTTTTCGGGAACGCATCTCGCTACTCCCGTGTCGACTGTATGTCTCGTATCGATTACCATATTAATGACCGATGCCTGAATCCAAATATGGTAATTTGTATTGACAACCCCTCTGATATTCACCTTGTGTGAAGCGTGACCAGACCCTTTTGGGATATCAGGGTATAGGGCCCACGATCTTCTATATAATTCTTCCTCGTCTGTTCCTTCTCTTTTCTTCTCTTCTCCTCTTCGCCATCTACAACCTGCCTTCCCCCCCATATCAAGATACGTAGTAAGTTTTCTCATGATGGACTCTGACTCTGGTGATGAGCGAGAAGAGTGTTGATCTTCTGTTCTTTTCTTAAGACAATTATATACATTACTGACTATTTGCCAAAGACATTCCCGAGCCACCGCCGCTGCTCCCACTCCTCGTGGGCCCAGTAGGGCCGAACTCGAACGGTCGAAAGTAAGTTCTCTATATTAGAAGATTATGTCTGATTATGATTGATTTTGATGACATACTGTTATGTTATTGATAGATATTGATACTAACTAAGTTAAGTTTATAGATCATAGACGCTCTCGAAGACGCGGTATCGATGTACCTGCCGGCGTGCTGCCGGTAACCAGACTCCTGACACCAGCCCAGAAGCTCCGCAAGAAAGATGAATGGACTTCCTCGCGCAAGGAGTTGGTAGACCAACTTGCCGCTCATGATGAGTCATACAAGACTGAGATAGAGCCGGACGAGAAGCGATTGGCTGATGTCGAGGATGCTGGTGTAGTTATCCCAGAGGGGGTTTTACCCCCCACAAGGGACCTTACCGAAGGACAAAAGTTAAGGAAGAAGGAGTTGAGGGAAGAGATTACTAGACTTAAGGAACTTGAACGAGAACATAACGAAGCTCTTCAAGTCAAGACAGAACAATGGGACACTGCTCGGAGAGCTTTAGTAGCTACTCTGGAACGCCATGACTCCGAACGCCAAGAGTCGTTTGCCCCGGACTACAAGTTATCCAAAGAGTTGGATGAGAAGATCAAGTCCGCTGTCTCGGAAATCAAGGATCTCGTGTAAAAGACTGATACCGCCTTTTACATGATGGCTGGTTTTATGGGACTGAATTCGTGAATCGAATTGTCCAGTGCAGAGTTAGTGCTCAATATGCCACGGGCACCTTCCCATTTAGGAGGGAGGTCTCGAGCACAACATCTTCTTCACCCGTTTTACTGCATGTATTTAGATCATCTTCGTTATCAGACACTTACAAACAACAAGACGCTTCTGCACGTTTCCAGGCAGCTGTCAGCTGATCCTTCGCCTCTTCTTCCTGCGTGGCCTCCGACCATCACCTCTTCCAACCAACCAACCAACCACCCAGCCCCTTGAGATCTAGATAGATCAAATCCATATATATTTGACCCTTTGTCTTGACGATTGATTTGTCTGCAAGTTCTTGAAGAGGATGTAGACGCCTTCGACGTAGCTAGAGAAATGTTCCCTCATATTTTTATCGAGCAATGTGCCGTCATCGTTCGATGGCAATTGCAAATCAAATGTCATTGTTATACGGGCAACAGTTGTCCTCATGTTCATGAGTGCTAGCGGCTTGCCGATACATGCGTAGGGGCCTTGAAATAGTCAGATTCGCACTTACAGGCGTGGATCAGAATAGGCAGACGCGCTAGGCTTCCTCCACACCGGCCTTCGCTCATGCTACACCCTCCGCCTATCTTATAAGGTAAGATCCCATCCATTTAAGATATAGCCTCTTCGATCTGTTTTACTGCTTTCCCAACCTGGGTAACTCTATTACTTGAGATACCAAATCCATGCCTCAGGAACAAAAGTCCTAAGAGTAGCAGGTGGTAGGATTCTGCCTTTTCTAGGGCCCAAAGCCTTACCTTAAATGGATGGGATCTTACCTTATAAGATAGGCGGAGGGTGTAGCATGAGCGAAGGCCGGTGTGGAGGAAGCCTGGCTGGTGTGGCGGTAGCGCCTCCCTCAGAATATTGGCAGATTCAGCAACAAGATATAACCCACCGAGTAAAAAAGGTGCATAGGCAGATTTATACTTCATCGCCTCAGGGTATTTGTACCACCTCTCAGGAAGGAGCCGATTTGCATTCTCGTAGAAGACATCGGCTAGAAAGGTGAGCATTTGCTTTGTCAGACCGAGGAAACATATTGATCACTTACATCTTCCAATAACACATTGCGGGCAAGAGACTGTCATGTTTCCTGGTATGTAGGTGTCACCGATCATGATACCCTCCGGTGGTGTCTTTCTAGGAATAATGCTTCCAATTGGAGGATGTAGGCGGAGCACCTCGTTGATAAACCCATTGAGATGTCTTAGACCTGCTATTTTCTCGTGCATATACTCTCCGCTAGGCTCGACAGCACATAGGCTTAGCTCCTCGCGGATCATCTTTACGTGTACTGGGTGTTTAGCCAGCTCGTAGATAACGGTGATTAGAGCTGCCGCGGTAGTGTCACTATCGTCCACTTGTGAGCCTGTATTGCTAGAAAGAATAATTTCGAATAGCTGCATACCTCCCTGCTGCAATTATCAATTCAACATCCCCAAGCAACTGATAGAATTCTTTAGTTGTAGGTACTCGTCCTTGCAACTCCACGAGCAGCGACGAGCTGATATCGGGTATTTCGGGCGTTTCCTAAAAGCATGAGCGATTTACCCGAGCATAAAACAGCAGAAAAAGCCTCAAAGACAATACCCTCATTCTCGTCTTCAAGCGCTGATGGCTAAACTCCTCATATCTCAAGGCATCCTTGTTCATCCCCGGTATCGAGCCCAGCAGCCGAAGGGCCCAAATAGGCACGGAGTATTCCAACGGTTTGAGCATATCATTCAATATCTGTATTGCCCAGTGGTTGGCACTAGCATCTAACAAGCCGAAAGTTCTACCGAAAGCTAAGTCGCCCATCACATCGTAGCTGTACCATGTGAGATAATTGCTGATGTTAATAGCTTGATTATCAGCGGCCGAGGTTAAAAGATCAATGAGCTTTTGTCGGTAGATTTGAAGGCGTTTTTCGTATGCTCGAAGTGATTTATCGCTGAAGCCTAGACTCCATACTCTCCGTCGTTGGTCATGAGCTTCCCTGTTTCGATGTGCATGTAGCGATTGCACTGGTGCACCGAGATCATAGAAGGGCGCTTTAGTGCAGGCGGACTTAAATCCATAGATGATATTTACGGCATCGGGGTGGATTATGGAGAGATCAGATGGGCCTATGCGCACAAATTGTCCGTACTCCTTATGCAGCTCTTCGAGGACCTGGTAGAGGGGTTGGTGAAGAAGCTTTGCTGGTAGCCAGAACCCAGATAGACGTGCACCTAGGGGGCCGGGAAACCGTCCGAGCGGATGAAGAAACACCCTGTAAATGATGAGGCTGCAGTATAGGCCCAGCAGATGTGTAGACATTAGGCTCAGAGATGCGGTGCTTGCTCGTGTAAATGAGATTTTTTGTGCATAATGAATTGTTGCAGCAATTAGTATCGACAAGCCACCATACGTGTAGACATACCGAATCGGATAGAGATGGTGTTCGCCAGAGCGGAAGTAGAGGCTGTGAGCTAGCACGCCTAGAATAAATGCTCCAGCTTGTAGCTGTAGTCCGCTTTCCATCTTCACGACCACAGGGTTGAAGCCAAACTTGTGAACGAGAAGGGTATTAGTGACATCAGAGATTGCTAGAGAGCGACAATTTATCTAACACGGACTTGCAACAGTGAAATTGTATCTATGCTGCCTAGTGTTCCTGATGAGTTCGATCAGTGGTACAACCAATGCTAATCTGATGTCGACTTACCCAAATTCTTGAATGGTCTTTTCGAGTGTGAGGCAAAATTGTCCATCTACTCTCACAGTCGCATGAAGCGGAGAAACCCGAGCAGGACATGTATTGGCCCTGAATCTGAGATCCCTTTTCCGCAGTTGTTCTATCGTTTCCTGCAATCTTAGACGCCGGTCCTGGAGTACCTTAAGCGGGCTAGAACCCACCCTTGACATCGCCTGAACTGGTACTATGCTTGTGACATATAGCAGGTTGAGCCTTTCAATCGCCAGTTATTTAAGGTCGTACGATGTTCCTGGTAGATGTCACATCTGTCCAACGTTTGTGCATTGTTGTGGACCATTTGCACACCAGCCCCCTCTTACCTTAGCTTAAAGGGACTAAACTAGGCTCTGAAAGTTTCTTCTGCAAAATGAACAGTAAAGGGACTTGGTCTGCGCCTACTGAAGAGTATCTCCATGACACAATAGAGGTCTCTACAAGCATCTTCTATTTTTTCTGGGACACGGTTTACTCTAAGCCTGAGTCTCTCAGCGCCAACTCGCTCCACAAACTTCAGGCAGTAACACCGGAGTTCGGAAAATTTACTACCTGCAGTGGAGTGTGAGGGATTTCAACGAGCGTTGCATATCTGAATGGTTACACAGGTATCGGCTTTGTGCCCGCCTTGTAGTGCCTTTCTGTTTAGAATGCATATATGCCCGCACAACAGACAAGTGCGACACTCCTCAACCTCGTTCGGAGTGGGAACGGTGGAATTCTTGATCATACTGCTTTTTGTATAAGAGCAATACACTGACCTCTTAGACCAGCAGATCTGCGAGCATCATAACCCGAGATATAGTTTAAACTAAGATGGCCTCACCTTTCCTGGGCGACGAAGCCTCATCTCATCCAAAAGGTATGGAGGCATCACCACCTGCCGCTTCACCTGAGCATCAGAAGGCGAGCTCTGGAATCAACGTCCAATCAACCCACAGACCATGGGATATCATCGTGAAATACATAACTTCAACTAACGCCGCCGAATCGTCCTGGTGGAGGAACATTGGCCCACTCCTTGGTCGGCTGCTGCAAATAACAGGCTACTCTGTGCCTATGCAATTCGAATATTTGCTCTTCGCACGAAATCACATTGTCCCCGCTCTCGGACCGTATCCGCAGCGCTGGCCAAGCGTTATGACCTATACGGACTTGCCGATTGAGATGAGCGTTAATTTTCAGGATCACCATGCATCGACTGTTCGTGTGGGCATTGAGCCGATCTGTGAGCTCGCGGGAACATCCAACGATCGATTCAATCAGACTGCTACGGAGCGGTTGGTTGGTCGACTGTCTACATTGGGAGGACTTGACCGCATGCTGTACCATCATTTTGTTAGGGATTTTGGGATCACTGAGATGGAAACATTGAAGGTGAAACAAGGGGAGTTTAAGAGGGACTCAGTGCAGTCGATGTATAATATAGGGTTCACTTTTGAGAGGGTTGGGGCAGCTAGTGTGGATACGAAGGGGTATGTTTTTCTCAGACTGAAGGAGAAGGCATCTGGCATGCCTATGCAACGATTACTCCGTGATTCGTTGAACCAGCTGAATGTGACAGCAGAGAGAAGAGACAGTGAGGCAGTTCAGAAGGTGATTGAGTACATGGAGGAAGGTGGGGGCTTCAATGAGTACACATACCTGGCTTGGGATTTTGTCGATTCGGCCAAGTCCCGAATCAAGGTTTATGGGGTGCTTGGAGATTTAAGAATGGAAAAGGTTAAGGAGGTATGGACCATGGGTGGAAGGCTGAAGGATTCGGCTACGACGCAGGGCCTGGAGTTGGTCCGACGGCTATGGGAATTGCTGGAGGGCAACGGTCAACAAGGACAACATCCTTCCAAGGCGCCAATACTGATGTGGAACTATGAGATCCGACCGTGCCGCGACGAGCCCATCCCGAAGCTGTACCTCCCACTTCTTGGGAGGAACGACATGTTCGTGGCCAAGACGCTGGCGCGCTTCTTTGACTCGCTCGGATGGGCGGACGAGGCTCGGAGCTATGTGGCTAACGTGCAGTATCTGTTGTGAGTTCTGCCCTTTCCCGATCACAATTATTCCGACTGACGTTGATGACAGCCCGGATGAAGACCTCGAGCTGTCTGCCCGGCTTCACTCGTGGGTGTCACTAGCGTATACCAGCCAGGCGGGGGTCTACGTGAGTGTGTACTATCACTCCAGCCTGGCCTAGAATCGAGTCTTGGAATCATCATCATCATGAACATCGCACAATGGTATTATTATGAACTGAACTACCGCATAAAAAAAGTCGTATGCGTACGTGACCATCTGGCGGACATCTAGGCGTTCTGTGCGACCACCACACCGGTGAGTCAAAGCAGGGTTAGGATCGAAAGAAACCCCAGAGAGGGATATAGGCTACTTCCTAAGTAAGACGGTGGCCAATTTCTTTTCCACTCGGCGGGGATTGGCTACCGTCCGGCTATTGTGCGGTACCAGCTGACCAGAGCCGAGATGGGGACTGATTCACCCCATGGCACCCCCGCGGAGCTGAGAAGCGATGGATAAGACAGGTAGCATGGGAGAGAAGGAAGAAAAATTGTAATCCGGCCAACGAGGGAGGGGCGCTCGGGCAAAATCCGCGCGCAGAAGGATTCTTGGGATGGAACGAACTGGGTCTCGTGTCCGGGCCGAGAACCGTTGATTCGTTGGGAGGAAAACCTGGCGAGCAAGTTGGTGGCTGACGGGATGCCAGTGGAAGATGGAAAAGTTTGCTAGGCGAGTTGGTAGTCTGGGACTAGATAGAACTAGATAGAACTAAGGGTAAGGATAGCTCGGGGTTTTACCCCGCGATGGAGCCACGCACGGCCGGGGGGTGAGGGTTTGGGTTGTTCGCTTACCCCGGCGGCCATTGGCGGTCTGGAATTGATTTAGAGTTGATAGGACCCTGTGCAGCCATTAAATTGCGGCGTAAAAAACAGGAGGTAGAACAGAGAATACCATGGAGACTTTTTCATAGATGGAAGCCCAGATCTGGGGAAGAAACAAGAAGAGGGAGAAAGAGACAAGCCGCGACAAGGCGGGCTTGGCTGGTGGAGTTGGAGCTGGAGAGCCGCTTGGCAGTAAATCTGGGGAAATCTTGGCGGGGGAAACACACACAGAGAGAGAGAGTTATAACACTCTTTCATAGAAAGGAATAAAGGTAGTAGGCTCTCGGAGCACTCGATGACATCAGATGAGCAATTGACATGGCCAACGATGTGTCAAAAATAAATAAAGTGCTCATACAAACAAAGACAAAGGAACAACAAGCAGTGCTAGAGCGTGATGATGGCATCCGGCCTGACTAAGGAAATCCCCTGGTCATTTACGATTTGCCCAGAAACTCTGGTTGAGGGGCGGCGTTAAGCTTTCCAACCTCTCTCGTTGCTTTCTGTTCCTCTCTAGCTTTCCAAAGCTTCCCCAGATGACTTGACGGGACCCATCTGTTCCGGAAGATGCATCTTCCTCCTGCTCGTCATGGGAGGGATCGGCATCTGTCCGGCCATGCTCACCGTCGTCGGCTTTCTGTTCCAATTTCACGGGCTTCGTCCTTCTGCCCGATAATCGGGGCATAAAAGCCTGCTCCCCGCCAGTCATGGCTTGTTCGTTTCTTTTTTTTCCTCCGACCAGGCCATCCCTTTTTCCTTCTTGTTTACCCAACCGCGCAGCGCTCGTAGACGCGCTCTTGCCGTGGTTCTTTTCCTCCCTTATTCCACCATGTCCCACTACTACGAAGGGGACAAACCCTCTACGGGGGTGCCCGTTCCCGTCCAGCTGTCAGCTGCTGACGAGGATGAACAGCCCACGATGAGTCCCATCAAGTACATGACCACTCGTCTTACAACCTTGGTGCCTCCTATGAACCCAGCTCCCAATCCCTTCAAAGCGCTCATGCTCCTCAATCGGAAGCAATGGCTCTTTTTTGGGGTATGTTTCATCCCAAACCTCAAACGCCGGACACTCTTCTTGCGCCATGACTAACCGCGGTTCTAGGTTGCTTTTGCCGGCTGGACTTGGGATGCCTTCGATTTCTTCACCGTGTCCTTGACTGCCACCGATCTTGCAAAGACATTCGACAAATCCGTCACCGACATCACCTGGGGCATCACCTTGGTGCTGATGCTCCGGTCCGTGGGCGCCATTACATTTGGAGTCGCTGCCGATCGCTGGGGTCGCAAGTGGCCCTTTATCGTTAATAACCTCTTGTTTGTCGTGTTGGAACTGGGTACGGGTTTCTGTCAGACCTACAAACAATTTTTGGCTTGTCGCGCTCTCTTTGGAATCGCCATGGGTGGGTTGTACGGCAATGCCGCGGCGACCGCGCTCGAGGACTGTCCCATGGAGGCGCGCGGTATCGTGTCTGGTTTGCTGCAGCAGGGCTATGCGTTTGGATACTTGCTGGCTACCGCATTTGCACGCGGCCTGGTCAATACCACCTCTCATGGGTGGCGACCGCTCTACTGGTTTGGGGCCTGTCCGCCCGTGCTAATTATCATCTACCGGATGTTTCTGCCGGAGACCGATACTTTCCTTCAGCGCCAGGCCACTCGAGAGCATGTTCGCGGTGGAGTGACTACAACATTCTTGTCCGAGGGTAATACGGCCTTGAAGAGACATTGGCTGCTTCTGATCTATCTGGTCTTGCTCATGGCTGGCTTCAACTTCATGGTATGTTTGGATGCATACTTTTACTCGATTTAGTCTATTCGGCATCACTAACCAGACCCCAGTCTCACGGCTCCCAAGATCTGTACCCAACCATGCTTGAAAACCAATTCAACTTCTC